ACCATCAGTGGGTTTCAGTCTGAAGATGTTGGAGATTGTTACTATTTGGGCTGTCGTTGTAGTCGGATGTTTAAACAGTGATTTATAGCAGTACAAGAACCTCCTTCAGTCTGGTTAAAGGCTGCAGGTGCAGCGTGCTGGACTGTGATGAGAATAACTGATCCACTAACACAAGACTCATCAACCACAAACACACTGAATAAAAATAAAACTAAAGAAGTATACAACTGTGTTTATAGTGATTCAACCTTTATATTTATCATTAAATATGAGTAAAAGTTCATGAGCACGTTTTTTAAGTGTAATGTTTACATATTTGTTGGGGACTTGTAGTAAACTACAAGCACAATCAATCATCCATGAACTCAAAGCTGTTCTGTGGTTACTGACACTTTAATTTTTTTTAGTAGAAATCCATAAATCATTATTTGAAAAAAGTCATTTTCAAAATAAAAACAATAAAGAAATAAATCCACAAACACTTTGTTTGACAATTAAGGCTTGAAAATAACCTGAAATATCTTAATTGGAAAATACTAAAAAGATATGAATTAACATTTAAGAGAAATTTAAAAATATCCACATTTCTACATAAAATTAGATATTTGTAAAACTGAATGAGTTTCTAGGGAAGTTATCTGGCAGACTGTGAGATCAACTTTGTTTCATAAATAATGAAAATGATCAACAACGATCACTGGACTTGATCAAATATCTTTTCAAAATTTTATAAAATATTTTGCAAATGTCCAAAAAGTTGATTCTCTTGATCTGGACGTAACGTTTTGTGGGAGAAATGTTTCGTCACTCATCCAAGTGCAAATGGTCGTAGTTGGGAAAAGAAAACATTTCTCCCCCAGTCAGACTGCAGAGACAACTGAGCTGTTACAGCAGGAACTGACTGCAGCTGCTGAAGAGGAAGAAAAACAGTTCAGTGAAGACAAAGCTGACACAAAGTCATGTTCTGCACACATTTTCTGAAAAGAAAAACAAAAGTTGGCTGTAGGAACGGCATTGGTCAGCTGGTGAGTTGTGCCAAGTTTCCTCCACGCATGATGTCTGGGATTCAGGTTAAAGCGTTCTTTATTTCATCAGACCAGAGAATTTAGTTCCTTCAGGTGCATTTTTCTGGGGAATCACTATCATCGTGTTATTGGCCAGCTTCACGTCTAAGGCCCTTCTACCCTGATGTCTGAAAGACTCATGGTGGTTTCAGTTCTTCAATATTTGGGAGAATGGAGGCCACTGTGCTCTTGAGACGTTCAATGCTGCAGAAATTTTTCTGTACCCTTCCTCACAAAGAGACTGTAACATACAAAATGTGGAAAAAAGGTTTTGACCTCCTAGGTGAAGAACTGAACACAAAAGAAAGGTGTTCACAGTAAGTCAGTGCAAAGACAGTAAACAGAAGTGTGAACAAGGACAAAAACCCACAATGAAAACATGACAAAACATACAAAGTATAAAATAACCACAAAAAGCCCACATTTATACAAAAATTGCAAAATGGCATAAAACTATATAAGGAAATGCAAATAACCAAACAAGCCAAATTATACAAACACACTATAAAGAAATACATCAAATGCAAAAGGCACAAAATAAGACACAGTCATACAAAACATGTTCAAACAGAAATTATTTTTTTTAAAATTAAAATTGATCAGAAGGAAAAAAAATGTGCCCTGCATGGATGTGCAGTCTGCTTTTTGGATCCATGTATAAGAGTCAATTTCATGTGTGTTCTCTTATTTTGACATAAGAGGGCACTATTTGTACAGCAGCAATGTACAATATCCACCCAGACTTCATAGGTGCAGGTGTGTGCTCACTGACCCATGCATTAATTTGAATATCTGTCGCACACCCTGAATGCAAAATAGTTTTCTATAGTTTCAGTATCATATAGAAATGTTTGTCCTTGTGTAAAATGACAATTTTTAATATTTTGCTGGGTGGACAGCTGTCTATACGTGTATAAGCCCGTCTCTCTGAGCTGCACAGCCAGCACAGAAATCTGTAATTACCTCAACTCAGTACTGACAAAATAAGTTAGTGTCTGTTTATTAGATCTTTGTTGTTTCAGCAGAATCAGATCCATACTTGAATTAACACTAACAATCAGTGGAGTTTAGGCTGAAGATCTAGATTACTACTGTGTTGAAACCGATGTGTGAGAACAAGCACATTGGTACAGTTAAAACTAATATCAAATTAAACTGGTTAGGGATTGATGTGCTGCAGCGATGATCTCTTGGAGGAGATTAGAGACAGCACTCCAGAATACTGATTTTTTGGGGGGATTAGATTAACCAGGGGTCCCCAATCCCAGTCCACGAGGGCTGGTGTCCCTGCAGGTTTTAGATATCACCCTGGGTCAACACACCTGAATCACATGATTAGTTCATTACCAGGCCTCTGGAGAACTTCAAGACATGTTGAGGAGGGAATTTATCCATTTAAGCTATGATAGATCAAGGACATATCTTAAACCTGCAGGGACACCGGCCCTCGTGGACTGGGATTGGGGACCCCGACAGAGACCTGACTTTAAAATTAAACATGCAGTAACATATACAACCTGCTAGATTAGTAGTTAGTATGTTAAAGAAAAACACGTTTTACCTCACAATCTGAGGATTTGGTCTTTTTGAGCTTCAATAATTATTATCAGATGAGTTTACAATCAAACAGCTCTGTGAGGTTTAAGCAAAATGCCAACATCATCATGTTAATGCAATAATAATGCAGTTATTTTCAGGAATTCAAAAAGCATCTGAAACTGAAGAGTGTGTTATAAAAAAATATAAAATATTAAAATATGTTACTCATTCTTTCTCAGTAAAATTTGGGGTCATCAAAGTAACGGCAATACAGTCTGAGAAAAAAATAGCTGCGTGGAGGAAATTAGAGGACAAGTCAAGTTTTTTATTTATTTATTTTTTTCAGAGAAGATACAGTTCATCTGTACATGGTTCAAAATATCAAATACCTGAGTTATGGCTTTTACTATGGAGCATAAACCCCCTTTCTCAGGGCTTTAGAGAGCTGTACAGGACTAAACTATTTAGAGAATTGAGAATGTTAGACCAGCTTGTTATTCATTCCTTTAAACCACTATTCATATATTTCTTTTTTTCAAAATAAAGTTCAGTTTGTCAGAATAATCAAAATCAATCAGTGTCTTTAGTGTCAGATGTATGACAGTAGGGGAACCATGCAGCTGTTAATGAGCAAATATAATGAAAAGTTGAACGATCCTCTCCTCACATGACCTCTGTGTTTTCTGTTTCATTGGGAGAGGTGGGTGGTTTCCTCCTACAGTGTGTTTTGCACACTTTCATGCATCACTGCTCCTCACAGTTTAAGTTCTGCTGTCACACATGCTCTCATGCACTTCCACTGAAAACTGAGTCAGGATGGTGTTTCCAATGTTGGTTCTTTTGTTAGGCTTTCTGAGTCAGGGTGAGAGATAAAAAAAAAACCTAATAATAATATTTCAGGAGAATGTTGTTTGGTGAAATTTACTCAGCTTGTTTTATGAGTACATTCATTCTGAAGTTTTTGGTGAATAAAAATACATTTTAAAATGTTTTTCCTTTCATTTCAGAGTCATTTGCCAATAATTTTCTGACTCAGACTGATGAAGTCAAGTCTGTCAGTCTTGGTGGGACTGTGACCATCAGCGCCAAAGGAAGTTCAAATATTGGTGCTGATCTCAGTTGGTACCTTCAGAAACCTGGAGAGACACCCAAACTACTTATATACAGAGAATCAACTCTCTTCTCAGGAACTCCGTCTCGATTCAGTGGCAGCAGATCTGGTTCTCAGTACACTTTAACCATCAGTAGGTTTCAGGCTGAAGATGCTGGAGATTATTACTGTCTGGGCTACCATGGTGGTGGAGTGTTCACACAGTGATTTAGAGCTGTACAAAAACCTCCTTCAGTCTGGCTGAAGGCTGCAGGTGCAGAGTGACAGACTGCAATAACTGATCAACTCGACACCACAAAAGCAAAAACACAAAGAATCTAAACAAAACTGAAGAAATACACAGCTTTATTTATAAAAAAAAATACTTAAATATATCTCAATGAACAAAACATCATGTGCAGGTCTGTTAGGTGCCCCGATAGAAACTAATATGTATAAAGAAATATTTCTGTATTTTTATATTTACATACATAAATGTATAAATGTAAATGTATAAATATCTAAGAGAAATATGGAGGTTTGATCAAGTATTTCTATGCAAAGTAATGGAAAAACAATAACACAAAAGTGATTTTTCACAAGCTGCGATGTTATTTTGTGATATAGACTTGTTTTCTCTTTCTCACAGCATGGTTTTAAAGCACAATATAATATAAATAGCTGATGAATTCTGCATTTAGATTAATAGAGTCAAACGTCTGCAGAAATATCGCAACAGAGGAGACATGTAGCTTCATCAAAGTATAAAAAGCTTCACAGGCATGAAATATTGTTAATATATAATAATATAACTTAAATTTGTTGATGATTTTTAGTCATTTTCATAATTTTATTTGGACTATTACCAATTGAAAGACAAAAGATTGTCAAATGAAATAAAGCTATATCAGCAAAAAGAAAAAAGAAAAACACAGAAACTAAAATGTTTCTAAAACATGAATTATGAGATTTTGGCAATATACTTTGGACAGCAATAGAGGTGTAATGTGTACCAATAGTGTGAAGTAAGCTTACTAACCAAAGTGCTGTTTTGATCCAGATATTAAAAATGCTGAATTATTTTTCTGTATATTTTACTCTATTCCATAAGACGTCTGTGGTATCATTCAAGTTTTATGTATAATAGTATTAATCCAAACAATTTTTCTTCTGACTTTGCGTCCCTTCTTGCCTTCAGTGTTTTGAGAGCAGAGAAATGATTTCCATAGAGAGGAGGCTTTGCATCATCAGCTGATCCTCCAGAGAACTGAGAAGGTTTATAGTCCTGTGAGTTCAACACTGCAGGACTCACATCTGTCAGTCAACACAGCAGAAAGCACAACCACCATGACTCTCATCACCATCCTCATCTGGACGCTGACCTGCTGCTGTTTTACAGGTTCATTCACTCAGCAACATTTCAACCATGATGTGCTGCTTTTTCTCTCATTGATTTCTGCTGATAAATGAATGATCTGTTTTTGTCTGCAGGATGCAGCGGTCAGGTGACTGTGACTCAACCTCCAGTACTGACATCTACTCCTGGAAACACTGTCACCCTGACCTGTAGGACCAGCCAAGCTGTTGGTGGCTGTAGTTACGGCCAGTGTATGTTCTGGTATCAACAGAAATCTGGGCAAATTACAAAGCTCCTAATTCGACATGTAAGCATAAGACATTCAGGAACACCAACTCGATTTAGTGGCAGTGGAAGCAGCTCTGACTTCTCTATGACCATCAGTGGAGTTCAGGCTGAAGATGCAGCAGTTTACTACTGTCAGAGTTACCACAGCGGTGGGGTGTTCACACAGTGATTTGTAGTCGTACAAAAACCTCCCTCAGTCAGACTGCAGAGACACTGAGCTGTTACAGCAGGAACTGACTGCAGCTGTTGACGAGGAAGAAACTCTGACACAGACCACTGAACACAGTAACTTCTCCAAGCACTAAATACTCATCTACACTTCTTTGGGGGAATTTTTAAACATCTGGTTACACCAATTCACAGTTTTCTTGTTACATTCCCCTAATCGTTACATTACATTCAGATTTTATTGTTTGTTTTTGTATTTTTTAAGCTTTATATTCCCAATATCATCCCATGAAGATCATTAAAGCTTGAACGAAGCTTTAACTTGTTGTTGTCTGCACTTTTTAGCAGTGATCTCTCTCACACAAAGTTTTCTTCAAAAATCATATTGATCATATTGTTCGTTTTACTTTTCCCAGTGTGAGTTCATGCCCAGCTTCTCTGATCTTTGCATTACTACAGATCTACTTTCAACCAATTCTCTTGGCTAAGCCTTGGAGTGCTGTTGTATCAGTAGTTCTGTCAGTACAACCTGAAGTACCAAAGGACAACCTGTGGTTATCGCAATAAGCTCATGTTGACTATTGTGGGTGTCAGTCTGTCATATGTAAGGAATCATGATCTCGTCATCAGCAGATCTTGATGAGATTAGACTTAATAACCTTTCCTGCATTGGACACCAGGTTCCTTCTTTGGTTTTTTGGGTTACGTCATGTGGATAAAACATGTGCATGTGACATAACGAAAAAAGAAGTTTAATAGATCATAACAAGTTTAGGTAGTATGTTTTGCCAGCACACCAAAGCCATGTTTCTGTTTGGGTTTTTTTCCTAAAACAACTTGATTGATTGTCAGCAGATGAAAACACTGCAATGTCACTTTTTTCATTTAGTGTGACTGCATTTGCAGCCATCACACACACAGGCAGACATAATTTACTTGCTATGCAAAAGGACTGTAAGAAGTTCTATATATACACCAATCAGGCATATCATTATAACCAATGACAGGGAAAGTGAATTTCCCACACCAGCTTATTAACCAACCACAGACCAAGACAGAGTTTTAATTCATTTCAAAGCCTGATGCTTAAACATGTTCACCCGGGCTGGAAAACCCCCCAAAAAGCACTCTTATTTGTTCACATCTATCATCCACCTGGGCCTTACACAGAGTTTCTGTCTGATTTCTCAGACTTTTAATCTGATTTAGTGCTCAGCTCAGATAAAATAATTATTGTGGGTGATTTTAACATCCATGTAGAAGCTAAAAATGACAGCCTCAACAAGACATTTAATCTGTCATTAGACTCAATTGGCTTCTCTCAAAATGTAAAAGAACCCACCCACCACTTTAATCACACTCTAGATCTTGTTTTAACATATGGCATAGAAACTGAACATTTAACAGTGTTTCCTGAAAACCTTATCTGGTCTAATCCTGTTCTAAGTACAATAATTGATTACACAGCAGTGGAGAGTAGACTTCATCACAGTAGATGTCTTTCTGAAAGTGCTGTAACTAAATTTAAGAATATAATTCACTCACTGTTATCATCTTCAATGCCCTGTACCAACATAGAGCAGAGCAGCTATCTGAACGCTGCTCCAGCAGAGGTACACAGAATGATAGGCAGACGCTCTGACGAAGAACAGAGGTAAACACGCACTAAATATACACACAAGGTAACAAGAAAATGGCAGACAGGAGGGAGACACAGCTGAACCTAATTAGACAAGACAACAGTGAAGCAAAACCCAAAACACTGAACACTGGACGTGCGTGTTTTAAAAGAGGTAAAAGAGAAAATACAAGACAGAAAGTCACAATTCCCAGAATAAAACTTAAAACAAAAACAGAAAACACTGAGTCGCAGTGTAACTGCTGAAGCTCTACTCTGAGCAGTGGTCAGGGTCAAGTGATGTTTCCAGTAACTCAGGTTATAATGTTTGGCTTTCTGAGTCAGGATGAGAGTTGTTTTATTTGTTTGTTTTTAATTCTGTTTGTGCTGTTCATGTTTCTCTGATTTAACCTGATACATTTTCTGTTTTTTTCTCAAGATTCACATCATTTTAGTCCTCATTTCAAAGTAATTTGCCAACAGTTTTCTAACTCTGTTAAGTCAAGCCTGTCAGGCACTGTGACCGTCAGCACCACAGGGAGTTGCTGGACTTAGTACCTTTAGAAACCTGGACAGCCTCCCAAACTCAGGAACTCCATCTTGACTTCCAAGGCAGTAGATCTGGTTCTCAGTACACTTTATCCACCAGTGATCTTCAGGCAGTAGATGCTGCAGATTATTACTGTGGGTTACCATGGTAGTGAAGTGTTTACACATATCATGGCTGCATAAAAAATTTCTTCACTTTGGCTGAGGCTGCAGGTGTAGAGTTTTCAACTGCAATCAGAATAACTAGAATAACCACTTAAACACAATACAAGTGTACAAGTGATTTACATATTTGATTATGAGCACACTAACTAAGATACATTCTACACTCACATTTTGAGCTTTTATTTTCTAGATCTCTTCATGGTTTTAATTTCAAGTGAAACATTTATTTACTGAATCAAACTCAAGTTATTTATTTTTCCGCAAGAGTAAAATTTGGAGATATTGTCATCCTGCTAAAAGATATATTTACATGACCACAAGCTTCTTTCAGCTTTTCCATTAATTTCAAAAGATGAACACATATTTGATTTGTCCCAGATGTTCAGGCCAGATGCAGCCCTGCCGTTTTCATCTCCTCCCAGACTTGATTTTTCATGTGTTAGGCAAACAGGTTAATTTATAGTACACAACACTGAAATTATAGAACAATTATATTTAAAAATAAGACAGAATGCTTAATAATATGGATCACTGCAAGCTTTATTGGAAAAAGAATGAATCATTAATATGGCAGTTATTAGGCACACTCACATCCAGCTGCTACACATGTCACTGTGTAAGTTACTGTTATCAAATAACTTCATCTGCAAACTTTCAAACTCATATTGATCAGAGCAGCAGGGATGTATCTCCTGCTCCCCCACACTAAGCTCCTGTCCTGGACTTCAGCAGCCCCTCTAGCCCTCACACCGGTTCTTGCGGAAGGACTTGGACTGCCAGTAGTCATGATGGTTCACCCTGCAGGAGAACACCTCTGCGTTCATCCAGTTCTCTTGGCTCAGCATCAGGGTGCTGCTGCTGCTGTAGCGACTACTCTTCTCTTCTTCTAAGCTGTTCAGGACCCCCTCTGTCACCTCTGTGCCATCTACTTCCCATCTCACTTCAGCTCCCTGAGGAGGTAGCGGTCAGCAGCAGGCCAGTGTGACTGGGCTTCCAGAGAGCTTCTCAGAGGAGGTTGAAGCAGAGAGACTGAGGGTCTGACCATGGGGCCAGCTGGAGGAAAGATCACAGACACACAACAATAGATTAACCTCTACTGCAGGACAGATAGCTGACACGAGACAGTTATGATCCATGACAGAGATTAACAGGCCTGTGGATTAACTGTATGATGATATTGTGATATAACAGAGGAGAGAAAACTTAGAATTGAGGATAAAAGGTTTTTAAAAAAGTATAAATAATTAGTGAATGTGTTGCTGTATTGTTTTCATGATGATAAATTAAATTTGACAGGAAACGTTAAAGTTTGTCATTTGTTTGTTTCACTTCCTTTTCATCACATCAGACTAACGAACTGTAAACTCAACCGTTAAAGTGCATCTGTATGAAAACTAATTCATTTAGTCAACAGCATAAAATGTTATATCCAACATGGTGCCAAACATTTCAGTGGAAGTCATCATATCATATTTTCAAGTAACAGCTTTACACAGTTATGATACATGACAAGATTAACAGCACTGTGGATTAACTGTGCGCATGATACTGTGATCAGAGGAGAGGAGGTAATAAATAGGAGAACCTAACACTTTAATTAATTGTGTTTCACACTCAATTAAATCTTTGTAAACGTTACAATAATTTAGAGTAAATGTCTTGTTGTTACAGTTATATTCTTGATGGAAAACAAACAGAGCTGGTCTTTGTCATCTGTTTGTTTCACTTCCTTTTTACTACATCAGACCAATAAACTATAAACTCCGCGATGAAATCATTATCTGCAATAATCAAATGATCTTTAAGACATGAACGATATTATGTGCTAACTGTTTTATATAAATAATAAAATCAAGATTCCTTTTGCTATATTTTCAGTCTCAGATTTTGTGAAAGAAATATTTATTCACAGATAAATACAAAAAAACCTTTACTTAAAGCAGATTAACTCAATACATTTCAATTTTCAGTACTATATAAACACGATATATAAACATGATATACTGGTATACTGATATGATAATACTGTATTATATATTTAACTCTTCTGATACCAAGTTTTCAGTATCAGCCACTATGACCAAACCCAATCACATCATGTAAAACACCCAGAATAAAATTTTGTTTAAAACATTCTGATGACATATTACACTTATAATACACTGTAAACCCCAACAGTCTACCTGATTATAAGTTTGTGGATATAACAATTAAATTCCTCACAAAGTTGAAACAACTTAAAACTTTTCTGTTCGGTTAACGATTCAAACAGTTATAATTGTACATGGCTTAGAAGTTAAGAGTAAATACTGCTTTCTTAATTATGATTTTTGAGTAAATGTTTTTCGAGCTCCGCATGTGGAGTCATGACGTCATGACGTCTTCTCTTCTAACCTGAACGACGTTGACAGAAATTCTGTTCAATATGGCTGCCCTTCTCGAGCGACTGGAGAACCATTTGGAGAAATTGTAAGTAAACGGAACCTTCGTTATGTTTATTTTTTCCCGTAAAAAGCAAGTATATTAATATGTTGCAGCCAATAAACTTGTTTTCGAATGCGCTGTTGTGTTAAAAAGCACAGACCCAGGTGGTGATTGTTGTTCGCTGTTGTTCGCGCTCTTTTTCAAACATAGATTATGTCGTCAGTTTTACAGTTT